TCATAGAAGGGTGGGAAGAGCTGGTAAACACGACAGCAAGCAGAGTTCTAGGTAGAAAGTTGATAGTTTGTAAGAGAGCAGTGAAGTGGTGGGACGAAGAAATCAAGCAAGCAATTCGAGTACGTAGAGAGTCACACGCAAAAAATGCGGCAGGGAAAACAGATGCAGGATGGAAGGAGTATGTTGAAAGTAGAAAGAGGGTGAAGGAGTTGGTCGTGAAGAAGAAGAAAGGGTTGTGGGAGGAAGTAGTCCAAAAGACTAACGAAGATTTTGAGGGGGGGATGAAGCAAATGTGGGTAGGAATTCAAGGGATAGTGGGCAAGAAAAGAGGGGGAGACACGGAAATAACGATACTAAGATCTGCCGAGGGTAAGATGGTAAGCACTTCTAAAGGAAAGAGGGAAGTACTAGTAGAGCACTACCGCAAACTTGGGACACCCACCGCCAACGACAACTTCGACTCGGAGTTTGAGAAGGAAATCAACTCGTGGGCAGAGGAAAACGTTGAAAGATCTCAGAGGGAACGTAGTGATGTAGACGGGTTGCAGGGAGAGTTCACACGAGAAGAGGTAGAGGACTGCGTAGCGAAACTCAAGAATAGAAAAGCGGCAGGGGCTGATGGAATTGTGAACGAGCTTTTGAAACAGGGGGAGGAGGCGATGATTAACATGTTGGTCCGGATATTCAACTGGATATGGAAACACGAGTACGCGCCGAAGAGATGGAGAGAAGGAGTAGTCGTGAACCTGTTCAAAAAGGGGGATAAAGCTGACCCGGGGAATTATAGAGGGATAACCCTGTTGAGCACAGTGGGGAAACTGTTTGGCAAGATGATAGACAATAGAATGGGAGACATGTTGGAGGGGAAACAAAAGATCAGCGAAGGACAAGCTGGATTTAGACCAGATCGTAGTTGTGTAGACCATGTATATACGTTGAGTAAAATCATCCAAGGTAGGAAAGACGCCGGGCGTACGACATACTGTTTCTTCCTCGACATACAAAAAGCCTACGACACCGTATGGCGCAATGGATTGTGGAAAAAGATGTGGGACATCGGCATCCGGGGGAAAATGTGGAGGATGTTGAAAAAGATGACAGAATGCACAAGAAGTGCGGTGATGTTGGATGGGGAAATTTCGAAGTACTGTGGATATACTCCAAGGAGTCGCACAGGGCTGTACGATGTCACCCACTCTTTTTAAGATTTACATCAACGATTTGATAAGGGCGGTTGAAGCAGTAAGACAGGGAGTCCAAGTAGAGGGAAATAGTGTGTCCGGACTGATGTTTGCAGATGATTTCGTGGGGGTATCCGAAACACCAGAAGGGTTGCAAGAACAAACAGATGCGGCGGTAGGATACACCCGAAAATGGAGACTGTCGGCAAACGTAGGAAAATGCGCAGTAGTGGTCTGTAACGAAGAAAAGAAAAATCCCGTAGAATTCAAATGGAAATGGGGGGAGGAAGAACTACCGGTAGTAGACAAGTATACGTACCTGGGAGTAGAGATTTCGAAGGAGTGCTCATGGGACGCACACATAGCGAAGTTGATTGGGAAGAGTAAAGCTCAGATAGGCAAGATGGACGAGATCCTTACGGACCCACACCTAGACACTAGGATTAAGAGGGTGTATTCTCTTGAAGGTGATTGTACCTAAGCTAGAGTATGCAGGAGAGATATGGGAAGGTAACGAAAAGGCCGTCAAGCAGCTGGAAACGGTGCAGATGGCAGCGGCCAAGAAAATACTAGGATGTTCAAGTACAACGAGCAACACTGTATTGAGAGCAGAATTGGGAATGTACTCTCTTAAAACAAAGAGAGACATGCAGAAGTTGAATTGGCAGTACAAGGTAAGTAGAATGTCGGACGATAGACTACCAGCCATGGTTGACGAGGCAGCTTGGGGAAAAGCGACTCCAGGGAAAGAAGGGAATCAGATGGGACAAGGTGGTAGAGAAGGTTTGGAAGGAGATAGGAGACGAGGAGGAGACGTTGGACACGGAAGGGTTCGGGGGGTTCAAGACGAAAGTCAAGGAGATGCTAGAGAGTAGGGAGGAGGCAACCCTTCGGAAGAAGGTACGAAGCGAAGACCACTTGGAGATATTCGGGAAGTTGAAAGAAGGGATAGGGATGAAGAAGTACTTGGACGGCCCCATGGACTATGCGAAAAATCTGAAATTGCAATTTCGAGTAGGCGATCTGGACTTGCCAGAACGGAGGAAGAGGTATACCAGCCGTAGGAGAGAGGAAGAGGAGGATAGACACACATGTCCATGAGGCAAATCGGAGGAGAGTAGACCCCACATAGTTGGGGAGTGTGAGTTGTACAGGAAGGAAAGAGAGGATCTCGAGGAGGAAATGAGACAGAGAGGGTGTGACATGGACAAGTTTGGTAAATTAGACAACAGCGAAAAAACGATCGCGATAATTGGGGATAGATGGTGGGCACAAGAGGCCCTAGAGGACGGGGATAAGATGTGCAAGAAATTTTTATGGAGTTTGTGGCAGAAACGTAAAGAGCTCCCAAATGTTGGTGGTGTCTCTAGTAGGTGTAGGAACGGTGCTCCGTCTCGAAAGGGACGCGTGGTCAATGGTCAAATGACTACGGCAAGCAACAAATGAGTACGCCCCCCCCCCCCCCCCCCCCCTGAGCGGCGC